AAGGAAGGAGATTCCACCACCTCCCTAGGTAACCCATTCTAGTGCTTCACCACCCTCCTAGTGAAAAAACAGTTACTTACCTTCTGTAACTGTTGTTCTTCGAGATGTGGTGTTCACGTCCATTACACATTAGGTGTGTGCGCGCGCCGCGTGCACGGACGTCGGGTGACCAGATGTCCTGATTTTATAGGGACAGTCACGATATTTGGGGCTTTATCTTATATAGGTGCCTATTACCCCCCCATCCTGATTTTTCACAGTTGCTGTCTGGTCACCCTAACAAACAGCCTATAGCTCAGCACCTGGTTGGGGCAGAGCAAACACAGCAGACAAAACATTCTGGGATCTAGCATCCTGGCTCGGGTGAGCGGCGGATGAACGCAGGCCTCTTGGGCCTCAGGTAGGGTGGCAGGGGTAGGATGATGCAGGCCCACCTGATTCCACCATATCTCAGCACAGGGTCCTAACAGTGGGGGGAGTGTTCTACCACTGATTCAGCAGGGAATCCAACTGCAACATGCTGACTCACCCTCTGGCAGCAGAACCGAACCAGAGTCTGGTTCCCCGGGCTACTTCCTACCGCAGACTGGGTGCAGGGCTCTGCAGCCAAAGGTCCTCTGTCTCCTTAGGGTAGAGTGACCATATTTCCCTATGCTGAATATGGGACACCTGATATAATTACTCATATTCAGGCGAGTTCAACAGCAATCAGATCTATGCAGTACAAATGTTCAAATTAACATCAAATTGACTGAGCCCCCGTTAAAAAGAAATACTGAGTAGTTGGATTCTTTATATTTACCTTCTTATCTTTAAGGCTTTAGGGTTCACATGGGGAGGGATGACACATACATCTCTACCTGCCCACCCAAAAGTGATACACACACACTCCAGTACACCTTTCTCACACAGGGGGGTGACCGACCAACCTTCCCCTCCCCTCCCCTCCCTGCTTGGCACTCTCTGTCCTCCATGCCTGGCTGGGCTCCCGGGACTGACCTGCCTCTCCTGGTACCCAGTGCCCTGCCTTCCCAAAGCAACATGTGGGGGAGGGCATGCAGGGTCATATCTCCCCCTCCCTCCAGATTTCTGCCAGGGTTCACACCAGAATGTGGTCAGTAGCAGTCTTTCAGCACTGTGTAGGAGGGAAGGGATGGGAGCTGCTTCCAGCCACAGACGGGGGAAAGGGATGACCTGGACTATGCCTTTGCAGAGCTCATCTCTCCTCTCCCC